GGGAGGCATGGGTCGGCATGACATGGCATGATATGGCATGGGTTGGCATGGGTTGGCATGGGTTGGCATGGGATGAAATGCGGTGGAATGGGGTGGTGGCCGCAGGGGCCAGTCTGTGCGGCGTACGATGCATGCATGGATGATGTATGCAGTGTATGCAACACACGAAAATATGACTTGCGTGCATAAGATGCATGTGCATGCATAGTCGCATAAGCGAGAACGGATGCCTATATGAGCGCCTGCCGCTGTGCAGCATAGCCTGCGCTTACCATGACAATGTCTTGAGGATCCACCTGCCGCCCACAAGGGAAAGAAACCATGGAAAGAGAGAGGGAAAGAAAGGGTGTGTGGGGAGGGGGAAGGGGTGGATTGAGGGGCCTCGAAATCGTTCCAATTCTAAAAGTGAAAAAGAACAATGGAAAGAAAAGAGGGAGGTGAATGGTGGGGGAGAGGGGGGGGAGAGGAAAAGGGAGACCCTAAGAGCAGGAGGGAGAATACGTGAAATCTGAGACCTTGTGGCCACAGTAGGGATTGGAAGGAGTGAACAAAAGACAAAGGTCTGGAAAGAAGAGAGGAGAAAAGAAATCCTCTCAAAGCTTATACACACACCTCGAGGTCTTCACAGAGCTTTGAAACGCCATCCACGAGAATTAGATCGCAGTGAGGGTCTGAGGCAGGGAAACAGCACAGCAGCAGTAGGGAGCAGGAAGAGTATTGAATCAACGTATACGGGGGATGACATCCGACCACGAAACTCATGCCGGCATGAACGACTGATGCAGGGGGACACAGGAAACTGGCGGGGAACAGGAGAGGGAAGGGAGGCAGGAACGAGGGGCAAATACATACCTTCCCAACCCCTTCCACTGCACTGCACTGCACTGCACTGCACTGCATTGCACCTACCCTCGCACAACTCCGCATTATTCTGAGACGTCTCAAAACACCCTTCCACTGCACTGCACCTACCCTCGCACAACTCTGCATTATTCTGAGACGTCTCAAAACACCCTTCCACTGCACTGCACCTACCCTCGCACAACTCTGCATTATTTTGAGACGTCTCAAAACACCCTTCCACTGCACTGCACCTACCCTCGCACAACTCTGCACTACCCCACCTTTGTATCTGAGAAACAGATGCTCCAGCTGCCGAGGGTCCACTTTAGGAGCAGCAGAGCGCCCCAACGCCCTCAGCTGCTGACCCGAGGTGGAGGAGGAGTAGAAGAGGTCGAAGGCGAGCTCCATGTTCCACTCGCTCGCCCGCAGGGCCGCCAGTGCCCCCCGGTCGCTGGGAGAAGAAGGGGAGGGAATAATGGGCCGAGCTTGAGAGGAGTAGAAGAGGTCGAACGCCAGCTCCATGTTCCACTCGCTCGCTCGCAGGGCCGCTAGTGCACCCCGATCGCTGCAACGCGAATGGAAGGAGGGTCAGTGAGAACAAGTGCAGTGATGAGGAGTAGAAGAGATCGAAGGCGAGCTCCATGTTCCACTCGCTCGCCCGCAGGGCCGCTAGTGCCCCCCTGTCGCTGTGGGGGGGGGAGTATGGGAGTGTGGGGGTGTGGAGTGAATGTGCGGAGTGGAGGGACAATGAGCACAAGTTGAGGTGGAGGAGGAGTAGAAGAGATCGAAGGCGAGCTCCATGTTCCACTCGCTGGCTCGCAGGGCCGCTAATGCTCCCCGATCGCTGAGGGGGCGAGGGGGGAGGGGAGGGAGGGCGGGGGGGAGGGAGGGAGGGAGGGAATGGAAGGTGGAGGAGGAGTAGAAGAGATCGAATGCGAGCTCCATGTTCCACTCGCTCGCTCGCAGAGCCGCTAATGCCCCTCGGTTGCTGAGAAGGGGATGGTGAAGGGGAAGGGAAGGAGGGAGGGAGATGAGGGAGAAGGGGATGAGAAGACCCGAGGTGGAGGAGGAGTAAAAGAGGTCGAACGCCAGCTCCATGTTCCACTCGCTCGCCCTCAGAGCTGCTAGTGCCCCCCGGTCACTGGGAGAAAAGGGAGCGAGGGGAGGGAGGCAGGGCGCGAAGGAAGAGAAGAAGAGAGGGCCCGAGGTGGATGTGGAGGAGGAGGAGTAGAGGTCGAACGCGAGCTCCATGTTCCGCTCGTTTTGAGGCGCCTCAAAACGAGGTGGATGTGGAGGAGGAGGAGTAGAGATCGAACGCGAGCTCCATCTTCCACTCGCTCGGGCTCAGGGCCGCTAGTGCCCCGAGGTTGCTGAGAAGGGGATGGTGAAGGGGAAGGGAAGGAGGGAGGGAGAAGGGGATGAGAAGACCCGAGGCGGAGGAGGAGTAGAGGTCGAACGCGAGCTCCATGTTCCACTCGTTTTGAGGCGCCTCAAAACCAGGTGGAGGTGGTGGAGGAGGAGTAGAGGTCGAACGCGAGCTCCATGTTCCACTCGCTCGGGCTCAGGGCCGCTAGTGCCCCGAGGTCGCTGGAAGGGGAATGTGGCAGCGTTCATCGCTCAGACCTTCATGCTCACCACGTGCCTGTGCTGTGCTCACCACGTGCCTGTGCTGTGCTCACCACGTGCCTGTGCTGTGCTCACCACGCGTCTGTGCTGTGCACATGCCTATGCCATTCTCACCTCGTGCCTGTGATCGCCACGAATTGTTGTACTGCCTCCTTCTGCTGCCGATTCAGACGGCTCTGAGGAGGGGGGTGAGATGGAGAGGGGAGAGCGGGAGAGGGGTGCGGGGTAGGGTCGGATGAGGGAACACGAGGAAAAGGGGGGATGCGCGGGATATGCAACTGTCACATGACATGACACGGGTGGGGACAACGGGAAATGCAACGCCTTGCTGCACTGCACCAATTCCTTCTGCTGCCGATGTAAACGGTTAGAAGGAGAGAAGTAGAGGAATCTGGGGCGCAAATATTTGGTACGGCATAAGAAACACAGGCAGAGACTTTACGCATAAAATAGGCACGAATCGCTGCACTGACTCCTGCTGCCGATTCAGACAGCTCACGGAAGACTTTAACGACAGAACAAGTGAAGTTTGCGAGGAGGGAAGGGGGAGCAGGAAAAAGGGGAGAAGGAAGGAGAGAAGCGGATTAAATGGGGAGGGAGGGGAAAGGGGAGGAAAGGGCGAACAGGGAAAGAAGGATATCAGCTTGCGTGGATTAAATGGCACGTACACTCATTCTGGCAAGCTGATTCGATATACGCCAATTCGATACAGAAGTGTGTAGTCCGCGACGTTTCCCTCTCCTCCGTCGAGCCGCCTCAGCCTTAAAACGCGTACGGAATGTTCCAAGTCACGGGAAAGGTACGGAATTCCGCGACGACTATTGTAACGGCTTTAAACGATAACGAGACAGAATCCTTCCTCTAAATCTCTGTACCCGCTCGGCTTTAATCCGAAGATAACTACCAGAACTGAATCCAAACCGTTGGTTACTAGGAAGAGAACAACGATAAATTTGGTTCGGGAACCGGAGAAAGCTACTGGCGCCGACAATCAAGTTGCGTTTCCTGAACCTGACGGTTCCTATGACTTCAGTACAGCGGCCAGGCAGCAGACAGATTCACTAAAGAAAGCCCTCGAAATGCAGTCGAACATGCACAAAATCGGAGTGGTGGAGTATCGAAATATCTAAACGTCGAAATGATCTGCTTCTCAACCTAATTAGCACTAATACTAAGATCGTCCCAGTACGCTTCTGGCATAGGAATAGACTGGCTGTGCCACGAGTGCTAGCGTGAGCAAACCAAGTGTCGGATTCAATGCCAAGTGCAAAGTCGCTGGTAGTTAGGCGGGATCTAGGAACCACGGCGGGACTCGAAGCTCCCTATGAAGCCTAGGGAGTGGAGGGGCTAGGTTGGCGGAAATAAGAGGCACATGCACCAACTGTAAGAATGAGCTAGTATGTGAGGCAGAGAATAAGATGTGCAGAACCATGGTCAAGGCAAATCTGCTTTTGGTTGGTTGAAAACCTTTCTTTATTGTCATCTGTTGCTGCTGTCAAAGGCTCGGCAAAGCTGAACTACACACAACACAACATAAGCAATTTGTGATCAAGCCACAGTAAAAGCAGCATAACTGTACAATGCCAATTTTGCAAAAAAATGCACAGTAGTGTGGGAGTGTACGCCCAATTCGAATATTTGAATCTGTTCGATTCTGTCCCGCACACGCCCCGAAATTGTCGAGAATAACGGCTAGTCGTCGTCAACTTGACGCCTCGCAACTTGAGGTTGCTTGGCTCATAGTTGCAGCGCCATTCGACTGGGCAGTCTGGGTTGAGACCAGTCTTATAATTGACCGTTGAGATTGTTGTGCCTGCTCCGGTTAGTGCTTTGACCGAGCGTAGGGTGGCTTTGACTTGAGTGAGCAGGTATTTGTTAGGGTTTCAGTTCCAGCCGTGGCTTTTTCGACTCTGCCTCGCGTTGCCCAGATGATCCAATTCGCGATACCTCAGACTCGCGTAATATAAGGCGCTATTGACTTACGGTATCCTATACTTTAAATTTCTCGTGTTTGCAAAACCGCTTTCGTCGACAGCAAAGAAGAGGCCAGGGTTTTCATCAGCGGTCTTGGATTTACCGCCTATACAATGCCGCCACGTGGCAAGTCCAGAAATAGCTCGAGGCCTCTCCCGCTTAGCCAATCCCGTCGCAAGATTCAGGCACCACTGTCGCGTTATTTGTCGCAGGAACCCGTAACATCTTCGCAACAGGTCTCGCCCAGTCCGTCGCAGCCAGATCCATCACAGCCATCAGCTTCGCAGGCTCCATCTCAGCCGTCCGCTCGGTTCAGATGGGATTCGCATGGAGCGGATGGGGTAACAGCAGCACCATCATCAGAGAAATCTGACCACGAATTTGTGACTAGAGAAGGTGTGACTGTATGTGATGTGACTGATGAAGGAGCAGTGGGAGGATCAGCAAAAACGCAAGGTGCAACTTCAGGAGGTGTGACATTAGACGATGTGACCTTAGGAGTTACGGCGGAGGTGATTGAGCTCGATTTGGTGCCGAGTCAGGATGACGTGTCCAAAATGGCCGAGCCGCCACGTCAGGACCCAACGAGAAAGAGGCTGTTCAAGGGAAAGCATAGCGTTCCGCAGAAGCCTCGTTTGTCGTTTTCTGTGCAACAGCCGATCTGGTCCAGCTGGCAGCAGAAAAGACAAGCACATCCAGTGGCAGGCATAGGTGGAGGGGGGGGAGGTGGAGAGGGTGGCACAGCGGGAAGGGGAGGAAAAGGGGGGACAAGTGAGGGAAAGGGGGTAAGCGGGGGAGGTTTCAGAGGAGAAGGAGGAGAGTGTGTTGGAGAGAGAAGGGTTGCGGGGATTGGTGGCGGAGTGAGGGGGAGAGAGGGAGCGAGTGTGGGTATGGGGAGTGTGGGAGAGAGGGCGTGGAGGAGCGTCAGTGAAATTGGGACATTTGGGGGTTTGAGAGGGTTGGATGTGACTACACTGGGGAGTGATACTAGAGGCGGGTTCGGGAGTGACAATAGAGGGGACTTAGGAAGTGATGGTAGAGGGGGGTTTGGGAGTGGCACGGTGTTTCACCCGACTGCATGGCGGTGTGGGATACCTGCTGTGGTGAGGAGGAGGAGGATCAAAACCATTGCTGATTGGTCCGATGATGATGGTAATGACAATGGTGGTGATGGTGATGGCGATGGCGATGGTGGTTGTGCTGATGATGGTGATGGCGATGGTGATGCTGCTGGTGATGGTGATTGGTTGGATGAGGACGGGGAAGAGGAGGGAGTGGAGGCAGAGGAGGGAGAGGAGGAAGCGGTGGAAAATGAGGAGGAAAAGGAGGAAGAGGCAGGTGAGGAAGGGGGGGAGGTGGAGGGGAGAGAGAAGGAGGCAGAGGAGGAAGAGCAGGATGAGCGTGAACTTGAGGGGTTAAGGGAGCGGCACGTGAGAGAGTGTGGAGGGAGGAGGAAGAGGAGACGTGTGATAGGTAACGAGGAGGAGGAGGAGCAGGAGGCAGGAAAGTGGATGGGGGAGGAGAGAAGAGGGAATATCGGAGTACAAGAATCAGTTGAAAGGGAGGAGGGGGCAGGAAGAGAGGAACAAGACAGAACGATGGGTGGGAACGATGATGACAGGGATGCTGACAATGATGACAGGGATGCTGACAATGATGACAGGGATGCTGACAATGATGGCAGGGATGCTGACAATGATGGCAGGGATGCTGACAATGATGGCAGGGATGCTGACAATGATGGCAGGGATGCTGACAATGATGGCAGGGATGCTGACAATGATGGCAGGGATGCTGACAATGATGGCAGGGATGCTGACAATGATGGCAGGGATGCTGACCATGATGGCAGGGATGCTGACAGTGACGACTCCATGATGACTCAGCCTGACGACGAAGCCACGTGGCAGTCCTTGATTGAGCAGTCCACGGTCGAAATTGTTATGGAAAGTGCAAGGGAAGGAGGGAGGAGAAAGGTGGATGGGTTGGAGATTCTTTCAGATTCACAAGAGGAAGACAAAGGCGGGGGCGGAAGGATAAGGGTAGAGGAAGAGCAGGAAAGAGAGGGAAGCGAAGGGCGGGGGAAAGGGAAGAAGGGAGGAGAAGTGAGAAGACGCGAAGAGGTGGGGCATGAGGAGGGGGAAGGAAGGGAGAAGGCAGGAGGCAGTAGCGAGATGGTGCAGTCAGGTTTTGCGGGGAGTAGAGAGGGGAGAAGTGAGGGGAGAGGAGTCGGGAGAGGAGAGGAGGGTAGAGGAGAGGTGGGGAAAGGAGGGGAGGGTAGAGGAGAGGAGGAGAGAGGAGAGTGTGCAAATGGAGGAAGGGAAGAGGAGAATCTAAGCGGGGCGGAGGAGAAAGTATTAGCAGATGAGGACGCACGGTGTGTACAGGACGAAGCGGAGGCCTTGGAGGAGGGGGAGGGGATGGCGATGGGCGAGTTTGACTTTGAACCGCCGTCCTTCTCCCTCCACGTGCAGCCTTCCGAGCTTCACATGGAACCTGATGCGAGGATGAACTTCCTCCCCTCACAGGGAGTGGACGCTCCCAGCCTCTCGTTTCATCCTGAGGCGCCTCCAAAGTCCCCCCCTCTCGTGCAGCCCTCTGAGATTCAGGCAGAACTTGATGGGATGAACTTCTCCCCCTCACAGGGCCTGGACGCTCCCAGCTTCTCCTTGAATCCTGAGGCGCCTCCAAAGATGGGCGTGAAGCATGAGACGGCTTTTGAGGCGCCGGAGGAATCGGGGACACAGGAATCAGGATTTCAGGCGTCACAGGGTTTGGACGCACCCAGTTTCTCGTTGGGGCTGGAGGGGTGGGATGGGGAAGAGGGCGCGTTGGGGGATGGGCAATGCATGACAGAGAGGGACGGGCAACAAGGAGCAGCAGAGAGAGTTTTTGACCGGAGTCATAGAAAGATGGAGAGCACAGTGGGGGATGACGAAGGGTTGGCAAAGAGGGAAGCCTGGGAAGGGAAGCAGGGGGCAGTTGAGCAGCGAGTGGCAGTGGGATGGGACGGCGAGAGGTGTCGTGAAGATGAACGGAGTGAGAGAGCCCTTGGAGATGGTGTTTATGGGAGGGTTGAGAGTGGTAAGAAGGTGAAGGTTGAGGTGTCTGGGGCTCATGCTGATGTTGCTGGTAGTGCTGGTGGTGCTGCTGCAAGTGCGGAGAGAGACGGAGGGAGGAGGTTTAAAAGGCTGCGAAAGGCTGTAGAGGTAAGGGGCAGGGCGGGAGAGAGCAAGGAGGAGAGAAGGGAGGAGGAACGATGGAAGGAGGAGAGAAGGAAGGAGGAGGAAACGAAGGAGGGTAGACGGAAGGAACTGGGGGAGGGGAGCCAGTCAGAGGCGCCTTTGAAAGCGGGCATGGGGTTTGTGTGCAGCTCGCCTTCTCCGATGCTGCTCTCACCATCAGCACCATCATTAGCAGCAGCCACACCATCACCCAGGCGACGAGCAGACACAGCAACAGCAGCCGCAGCAGCAGCAACAGACAACCCACCATTATCAAAGACAACAGCACCTGGGTTTGCAGCAACAGCAAGCTGTCACCGCTCATCCAGCTGTGTAGGGCGTTCCCCTGCAGCCCCGTTAATGCCTGCTCCAGTACCGTCTAAGCGCCCCATGTCCTGCCCAGCGATGCCTAGACTACCTCAGACGTGGTTGCGGATGGATGATGATATTGAGGATGATACTGAGATGGTGGGTGTGAGAAACATGATAGATGTAGAAGATATAGAGGACACGCCTCCGGAGGGGCGAGAGGAAGGGGAGGCGGGTGAGAGAGGAGAGGAGGGTGAGGGGAGAGAGGAGAGGTGTGGAGAGGTGGAGGGGTTGCGGCGGCGGCTGTTCTTGGATGGAGACGATGAGGGATGGGCAGCAGATGTGTGTGAGGGGGCGGTGGGAACTGGCTACACCCAGAGACGGAGCTCAGTGATTCAACCGCCAGGTCGTTTCACTGACGCGTTGCAACACGAGCTGGTTTTTGAGAATTCTCAACTACCAGGTCGTTTCACTGACGCGTTGAAGCAACACCCGCTTTCAACACAGACCCCTGTTTTGTCCCACGTCATGCCAAGGCAAGGCGCCACACAACAGCCCCCAAGGCAGACCCCGGCAGCAACACCTGTGCCGTCAAGTTCCATGCATCAGCCACCCGCAACACAGACTCCGGCAACAACACCCACGCTGTCGGAGGCTACGAGGCAGCTGCTGCAGCGGCGCCTGCCGCACCTGCAGCTGGTGGGGTGGCTGGAGGAGCGGGGGTGCGATGCCAACGGTGACCCTGTTTTCATCGACTACCGATGCCAGTTTGGCTCCGAAACTCCCTCCGGGGCAGATACTGACAGAGGAGGCCGCCCTTTTTCTCAAGCGCATGGAAATGAGAATGAGAATGAGAATGGCTGCTATGAGGTCGGGGGTTCCGGGTTTCCATGCCCGCAGCAGCCTGCTGGTGTTGGTGCTGCTGGGAGCGCTGCTAGGAAGGTGCATTTTGAGGCGCCTCAAAATGCACCTCACTACATGTGCCCGCAGCAGCCTGCTGGTGCTGGTGGTGCTGGGAGCGCTGCTAGGAATGGGGGGAGGATGGGAGGGGAGGGATTTGGACGGCAGCAGCAGCTTTCCCAGCAGCAAGGGGGCAGTGGGAGGAGGAGAGGGAGTGGTGGTGGCGGTGGTGCTGTTGCTTCCAGGGCTGGTGGTGGTGGTGGTGGCAGCAGTGGTGGTGGTGTTACGGGAAGGGGTGTTGCTGGTAGCAGTGGTGGTCACTGGGTGGCAGAGGGTGGCAAGAAGGTGAGCTGTCTCACACTTTGTTTTAGGTGTGTTTTGAGAATTCGAGAAAAATACCTTCTGGAAGGGGTGGTGATGGCAGCAGCAGTGGTGGATATAGGTATAGGAAGGGGTGCTGCTGCTAGCAGCAGCGGCGGTCACTGGGTAGCAGAGGGCGGCAAGAAGGTGAGTTATCTGCACTGTCTCTGCTCCCAATATTGCATAACCTCTGCTGGTGGCAGCAGCGGTGGCGGGTATAGGAAGGGGTGTTGCCGGTAGCAGCGGCGGTCACTGGGTAGCAGAGGGCAGCAAGAAGGTGAGCTGTTCTCACCTTGCTATAGGTATCTTTTTGAGAAGCTTAATAAGAAGAAACCTACGTGAAGGGGTGGTGGGGGCGGTGGTGGTTGTATGGGAAGGGGTGCTGCTGGTAACAGCGGTGGTCTGAGGCACCTAAGATATCTTATCCGTCTGTGTGTCCCTCCCACCCTGCCCATGTGTGCCTGCTGCAGGTGTATGTGACAGCATCAGGGAAGACCCTTTACGGCCGCATTGCCTATCGTCAACACCTCAGGGTAAGTCGTGAGTTGACACACCTTTGCACTGCAGGTCCTAAGGGACGATCACTTGAGCTCGTTGGTTGTCATGCAATATGGTATGCTGGCTGACCTTGTTTCACTGCAGGGTTCACAATGGGGTTCACAGTGGGGATGGCTACGGGGGTTCAGTGTCACACTGCTGTTCCAGATTTTTCGCTGCCTGTTGCCTTGTGGTGTTCCACATTGCTACGGGGGTTCAGTGCCACCTGCTTCCTTTACTTCCACACACACACACACACCTAAACAAGTGAAAATGTTTCTACCCACACACACCATATCTGCCACGCCACAGGATTCCGGGAGGACGAGCAGGAGAGGCAAGGGCAAGCGAAAGCGCAAGTGATGTGTTTCGTTTCATTGTTACGGTGGGATGTGTATTAAGTGAGACGTGATGCGTTTACGGTGGGAATTGTGCGGCTTACTAAAAAAGCTCAGTGTGGGTGAGTAGGAAGCGGCAGGTGCCCTGTGAAACCATTTTTGTACGCAATGCAGGTGGCTTTCTCTGTGCTTGCATTGCCAGCTTTTTTATGAGTACTTCACCGACATTATTAGAAAACGGAAATGTACGGTATGCGATGCATAAATATCAACGAGGTGCACTAAAATAAGCCTACAGAAAATGAATTGAGGTCGGAGTTGTTGAGCAAAGAATGCAACCGTGCAACCAGAGATGAGTTCTGGCATGACCTCTCATTTCTTCTTGCCATCTATCAACGGCTCAGATTCATCCTCCTCTCCACTGCCATCCGAGCCCTCCGTTTTATCACCCTCCCCTCCTTTCTTCCCCTCCCCCTCCCCCTCTTCCTCCTCATCCTCACTATACTCGCTCATGTAGTCATCATCCTCATCATACCCCTCCTCCTCCTCCCCTTCTCCCTCCTCCTCCTCTCCCTCCTCGTCACTCTCCCCAGCCCCTTCTGAAGGTACCACTGCCCCCCTTGTTCCGGCCCGTGTTCTCTTGCCCACCTAAAGGGTGTGAAGGGGAGGAAAAAGAGGGAGCGGCGAGGGAGAGAGTGGGGAGGAGAGAGAACCGTACACAACACCTTGTCGCTCTCTCTGAACCCTTCCAAAATCACCACTGCCCCACATGTTCCAGCCCTTGTTCTCACCCTATCCCATCCCATCCCATCCCATCCCATCCCATCCCATCCCATCCCATCCCATCCCATCCCATCCCATCCCATCCCACCCCACACCACACATACCTTGATCTTTAGAGGGACTTTCTTATTACACCCGATCCACACGTCACTGATCAGCATCACAGTCAGCGCATACACCCCTTCAGCAGGCACCCACGCCTCACGCTTGAATAAGGATCAATTCCCAACCCAATTCCCAACCCAATTACCAACCCAATTACCAACCATACACCCTTTCACCCAGCGCCTGAACCTTCTCAATCACCAACACTTCCATGCAATCCCATGCCATGAGTGGGTTTCAATGTTTCAAAAGTACACTCACCTTGATCTTCAAAGCGACATTCTTATCACACCCGATCCAAACGTCACTCATCACCATCACAGTCAGCGCATACACCCCTTCAGCCGGCGACTAAAACTTCCCAATCACCAGCAGCGCCACACCATCCCATCCCATGGTTAGGTTTAAAGGTTTCGAAAATACACGCACCTTGACCTTGAGAGGAACCTTCTTGTCACACCTGATCCAAACGTCGCTCATCACCATGACAGTCAGCCCATACACCCCTTCAGCCGGCGACTGAAACTTCCCAATCACCAGCAGCGCCACACCATCCCATCCCATGGTTAGGTTTAAAGGTTTCGAAAATACACGCACCTTGATCTTGAGAGGAACCTTCTTGTCACACCCAATCCAAACGTCGCTCATCACCATGACAGTCAGCGCATACACCCCTTCAGCCGGCGCCTGAAACTTCCCAATCACCAGCCGCGCGCCGCCCTTCACCCTCTCAACTGCCTCCTTCACCTCCCTCGCCACCTCCGCATCATCAAACCCCTCCGCTTCCACCGTCTCTCTCGTATAATCCGCCGCCGCCCGAATCGCCGCGGTCTCATCCAGAAAAGTCACCCGCTGGGAGAGCCAGACGGAGTTCCCGGCTTGGTCGGCCAGCATCAGCCAGAAGGCCTCGTCTTTTCGGTAGGGAAAGTGCGGCATGTGGGGGTGGGAGACTACATGCCCGTTGCCGCGGCGGAGGGTGAGCCAGATGCGGAGGGTGACGACGTCCCCCTCCTGAATGCCGTCGTCTGCGCCCTGCGTGATGCACGCCGCGTCCACCAGCATCTCAGGTATGGTGCTCAGAGTCGCCTCCACATCACTGGCTTCTGCAGGGCTGAGACCCCCCACTGTGGTGAGCAGGTCGGTGCGAGCCTCTTCGCTTAGTTCCCTGAGCTCCTGGAGGTTCTTAAGCTTCTGTTGTTGGACAAGGGGAGGGGAAAGGAGGAAAAAGGAAAGGCAGTGTGGACCAGCACCTCCACGTCGCTCGCTTCTGATGTGCTGAGTCCTCCCACTGTGGTGAGCAGGTCGGTGCGGGCCTCCTCTGTCATTTCCCTGAGCTCCTGGAAATTCTTCAGCTTCTGGTGCATGACGAGGGGAGAAAAAGGAGGGAGAGGGGAAGGGAATGTTGACGACCATCTCAGGCATGGTGCTCCGGGTGGTCTCCGCATCACTCGCTTCTGCTGCAGTCAGACACTCCATACTGGTGAGTTTTGAGACGTCTCAAAACACGCTTCTGCTGCAGTCAGACACTCAATACTGGTGAGCAGGACGGTTTGGACTTCCTCAGTCAGCATCTCCCACCCTCTCACACCCCTCCTCACCTGCCCACACCGCTTCTCACCTTGCTCATGGGTTTCTTCACCACCTCCTCGTCCACATGCGGCAGCTGCAGCAGCGCAGCAATGCCCTCCTTCCAGGCTTTCAGCACTAACACCCCACCTTCCCACACTGTTCCTCACCTTCCCACACCACTCCTCACCTGCCCACACCACTCCTCACCTGCCCACACAGCAGCTCACCTTTCTAGTAAGCTTCTTCACCACCCCCTCGTCCACGTGCGGCAGCTGCAGCAGAGCAGCAATGCCCTCCGCACTGCCCCCCTTGTCCGTCTGCTTGCGGGCCGACAGCGGCACGGCCTGATAGAAGCTCTGAGAGAGCTCGATTGCTCCCACTGCTGGCCGCAACCAGGCGTAGCCAACTGGGGGGCGAGGGTAGAGAGAGATCTGTGGAAAAACGCAGGGTTGGGTGAGATGTAGATGGAGGGATGACAGGCAGAGCGGAAGGGGAAGTATTGGTGGTGAGTAGACCAAGGCACGGCCTGATAGAAGCTCTGGGAGCTCGATTGCTCCCACTGCTGGCCGCAACCAGGCGTAGCCCACAGGGGGACGAGGGTAGAGATAGATCTGGGGAGGGGTGGGGTGGTGGGGTGGCACAACAAACGGAGCCACATGGAAAGTACTGGGGATGTGAGCCGACAGCGGCACAGCCTGATAGAATCTCTGGGAGAGCTCGATGGCCCCCACTGCTGGCCGCAACCAGGCATGCCCCACAGGAGGACGAGGGTACAGAGAGATCTGTGGGGCAGGAAAGAGGAGGAGAGCACGTGGCGAAGGAAAGAGAGGGCTGGCCGGGGGTTGAGGGGTGGGGGGGTGGGGGGTGGGGGGGTGGGGGGGGTGGGGGGTGGGGGGGTGGGGGGGTGGGGGGGTGGGGGGGGTGGGGGGGTGGGGGGGTGGGGGGGTGGGGGGGTGGGGGGGTGGGGGGGTGGGGGGGTGGGGGGGTGGGGGGGGTGGGGGGGTGGGGGGGTGGGGGGGTGGGTGTCAGAACTTGAGCTTAGAATCGATACTATAGTAGTGAGCTCAAAGCTCTTTAAGTACATCCGGAATGAGCAAGGTAGGGATGAGGAGGGAATCAGGAGGCAATCCTAGGGAATCAAGGGTAATCCCAAGGCAATCTCCAATTGGTGGGTTGGAGATTGCTTGGAGATTACATTTGGGTTTGGTTGGGATGTGGGTGTACACCCAACCAAACACAAAGTGCAAACTACACTAAACTAGGATATAAAAGTTCAAGTACAAAATGTGAGATTGGGGCCTAACACCAACACCCCCCCTGAGGCGTCAATCGAACTCATGGCGGAGAGGGAGGAGCGCAGAGCCCCATGGCGCCAAGGAGACGATGGTGGGGAACCTTCCCAAGGGGCTTGGTGAACAGGTCAGCCAGGTTGCAGTCAGATGCCACGTATTCCACCTTCAGCTGCTCTTGTTGCACAAGGTGACGAATGAAGAAGTGCCGAAGTTCAATATGCTTGGTGCGGGTGTGATACACAGGGTCTTGAGAGATGTGGATGGTACTCTGGTTGTCACACCAGAGGGTGGGGGCTGACTGAGGGAAGCCAAGCTCCTGGAGTAGGAAGGTGAGCCAACGGGCCTCCTGAGCAGCCATGGTGCCTGCGTAGAGCTCCGCCTCACAGGAGGAGAGGGAGACTGCAGACGACCTGGTGGAGCGCCAACTGACAGTTCCGCTCCCGAGGGTGAAGCAGTACCCCTGAGAGGAGCGTCGGTCGGCCTGGTCATCAGCCCAGGAGGAGTCTGTGTAACCTTCCAGGCGAGGAGGGGAGAGCCCACCGAGTGTGAGAACGTGGGACTTTGTGCCCTTAAGATAGCGCAGCACCCGCTTTGCTGCCTTCCAATGAAGATTAGT